GCCCGAGGTGCCCGGCATCCCTGTCCCCTGCCCCGCGGCCCCCGCGCCTTCTCGTTTCTCCTCTCTGTACGTCTGGAGGGGAGTAGCCTGCTCCGCCGTGGGCGTTACCGCCTCGGTACGGGCAGTTCTGGGGTCGGTTGCTGGGCGCGGGGTGAGTTTTGTCCTGGGTGGCGGCCTCTGCTGTTGCGGGGTGACTGGGGTCTGCGCGCAGGTGACGCGTGGCAAAGTCTCCGCTCCGGCATGGCAGCGAACTACTGACGCGCCTTGGGCGCTGCGGGGACGCTGCAAGAAAAGAGGAATCCTTGTTCCGAGTATTTAACGTTTCTGTTTTGCAGCGCATGAAACAGTTTTGTTTTGTTCTGTTCTTACAATACTTCGTGCTGCCAGTATACCGAGCCACCTTCTCGTCAAGTGATGGTACTGCTCAGCTTGGCCTTCACGCTTCCCCTGGCAGCTGGCAGCGAGCTTGTGGTGGGGAGAGGAGGAACGGTATTCTGAGGCTTACGTTTTTCCTCCAGTAGTTGAACGTGGTGGGTTTGCGCCATTCTTGAAAACTTTACTGATGCGGGGAGAGGGTTATTTCCCTTCCCCGTTTGTCAGAATTAAAATAAATGAAAAGTGGTGATTGTTTCAGTTAATATGTCAAGAACTTTTTCCAAAGAATGGAAACATCTGTTGTAGCAGCCTAGTTAAAAAGCAGAAGATTATATTTGTAGAGGATTTTTTTTAATGAGATAATATTTGTTAGCTATATTCATAAAGCTTACACATTGTGCCTGAGAGGTTCCCTGACTTTGGAGTTTGCAGTACTAACAGCTAGAAGTTCTGCTGACTATATTGGCATGGTTTTTCTTTTTCATTGAAAAAATGGGATGCAGTGTTCAGGTTTCAATGTGAATCCTTGGCATTTATTTTCCACCTGCCTAAAACTGGGAGCATTATCAGCCAGCATGGTACGATACACATTACAGGTGATGTAAATGGAGAAAAGCACTGATACAACCAGGCCACGAAGCGTAAACTGATACAGCCTTGCTGTGCTTCCAACTCTGCGGTTAGCATGGTTGGTTTTTTTTTTTTCTTTTTTTCAAGCATCTGCAGTGTGTTCTAATATAGGTAAGACCCCTGTATGTGTTTGGAGATATTCTCCCTAGCTTGCGTTATTTTGTCTGCCACCTTACCTAATCCAGGGTATTTGTATTTTCTCTTTCTTCTTTCAAGGTTCAGATAACTTTTCCTGAAAATGCCAATTGATGGCGCCATAGTGCCTGGTTGTTGAGCAGGCACTTTCCCAGGCCAGTCAGGCATAAAGATGCCACTTTGTTAAGAGGTATTTTTTACTTCTTTCAGATGTGAAACATGTAGTGAAGAGGAAGCTAAGTACAGATGTCCACGATGCATGAAATATTCATGCAGGTATCTGTTATCTGAATTAAATTGTTTTGGTTTTTTCTCCCCACTCGTGCTGTACATGGCGTGTTAATGTTTTTCTTTTTGTCATTTCAGTCTGTTGTGTGTGAAGAAGCATAAGCTTGCACTGAGCTGTAATGGAGTCAGGGATAAAACAGCGTTTGTCTCTGTAAATGAATTCACCGACTTGAACCTTTTGAGCGGTAAGAACATTCCTTTTGCTTTTAAAATTCATTGGCTTTACTGGGTTAGCACTACATTTTTCCTTGTTCTTTTTTTACCTTCAGATTATCGTTTCCTGGAAGATGTAGGAAGGACAGCTGATGCTGCTGCTCGGCATCCTACTGTGCATAGTCCAGCAGCAAAAAAACTTGTAAGTTTTAAAATAGCAACTTGGTCTGTTGGAGATAGGGTTGACTACCTTTGAATTCCTACTGAGGCAGTCCCAATCCAAATTTCAGAGTTGATACCTCTCTTACGAAGGTATGAATGACCCTGAATTTTAGAGCCAGAAATCAAAAAAAGTCTCTAGGTTTGTGTAACAATAGTATTGATGGCTAAGTCCAATTGTTTAGAAGAATAAATTGCTAACAGTGTACGTTCTTAAAATTGATGCATGACGACTCTTGCTGTTTGGTGATAGATGTGTGTCCAGAAAGCCTGATCGTTTCCTTCCACCTCCGCAACTTTTTTGAATTTTTAAGTACAAAATTCCCAGGTAAACAATGAATTTATTAATTGCCTAAAAATTATAACGTGCTTCCCCATATACCAAATGAAAGCAACTAGAGTTCTGCAAAGAGTAAGTCTAAGCAACAATGAAATAAAAGCCAGCCTTATAAGGGTGAGAGGGGATTTTTGTTGAAACTCCTTCAATTCCAGTAAAGCATTAGTGAGATCACAGAAATGTATGGCATTTCCTGCAAGTCCTATGACGATAAACTGTGAAGACCAAGATCAAAAAGGGGAGGGAAAAAAAAAAAAGAAAACCAAAATCCGCTCCAAAATAGTTTGACTCATTGATATGTCACAGAAAGGCATCAGGGCCATGTTGTATTCCAGTCTTGTGAAGATATCTTTAAATATAGCACTAAACTCAGTTGGAAAGAACTCATGTTGATGACAAAGTAAATCCCGAAGAGTCCAGCTTTCTCTCAGGCAGAAGTCATACTCGGTGTGTGTACTTATCACCATGATGTCTTGAAAACATGCGCTGAAGATGGTGAGATGCTACCTAGGTCGCAGGTCTTAGGGTGTGGTACTAGGCATGTTTACGGGATGACATCCTTAGTGCTACCTCCAAATCGGAATTTGTCAGAGTGGCTGAGATGGTGCTTGTGCATCCCTTCTGCTAGTGGAGCGGTAGCCCAAAAAACAGTTCTGTGGGTGGTATCACACCCTCAACGGCTGGCTGTGGCTTTTACGGTATGATGAAGAACTTGTACTGTAAAGAGGTCGTTGACATGTTATTTTTTAACCATGGAAAAACTTCACCTGAAAATGTGTCAGTTAGTTTCTAGGCTTACTTTATTAATTTTTTCATACATGATGGGTTTTTTTAAAAGTCAAAGAAAGTACTTCATTAAATGTGACCTATTCTACAATTTTCCCATAATTCCTGTCAGCATTACTCTTTTATTGTTTAACTTTCAGGTTTTGAATATATTATTCAAATTTTTTTTTTAAAAATAATGTTGGTTTTTTTTACTAGTTATATTGCTTGAGAAACAAAGCTCGAAGGTGTAATATTGACCTGAGAACGCTGCCCGTTGGCTTTACAAAAAGAAGAGAAAATTCAACCACCTTCAATTTCACGTGAGTCTTCAGTTGGTTAGTCAGCAATACTTTGTTTTCACTGAATGCGTAATGATGAGAATCTGAATTCATACCAACATGCTTGCTTTTAAAATCTGTTAGTTGCACGATTTTTTTACAAAAGCTATCTAGATTTAATATTTCTTGCTGCAGCTTTTCATTTTTCAGGCTCTTTGAGCTCAGTTTAGCAGGTCATGCAATTCATGCGTTGTTTTGAAAAATACCAACATTAAGTAACAGGAGGAAGAATCAGTGCTGTTGCGGTTTTCCATCTTTTAATTAACATTGAGTTTTGTTGCTGGAAAAAGAAAACGCTTCTTTAAGGGTTTATGACAGAGGATTGATGTGGAATGATTGCAAAAATCCCTCTCTCTGAAAAGGCTGACTTTAAGTCTGAAGAGGTGCTTCCAATGCAGTTATCTCTGTTGCGTGCCGTGTTGCTATGCTGGAGGATGTGGATGCTTGATACAGCGCAGCTTAGAGAGACAAGTGCAGACAGACAGATATGAATTCAGGAAAAAAGCTAAGAAGACTTCAAGTGTTCTTCCCTTTATCCACTCTGTGGGTTTTCTCTGATATCCAGAGTTTGTATTTTAAAGTATTTTCACAGTAAAAAAAAAAAAAAAATTACAAACTATTTTATTATGGCAGGAAACAGGTCTAGAGTTCAGCTTGATGACCTCCTGGGAGCAAATATAAATGCCTTCTGAGCTTCTCACAGTAATCAGCTGTGCCAGCTATCGTCCACTTGTTTTCTTTGTGGTCGCAGTTTTGGTGGCAAGTTCTGCTTTCAGGATGCATTTTTCCCTCTCTTCTCTCAGATGTACAAGCCATGGTGTAAAGTGCGGCGTCTGGCAGGGTGAGGTGCCGATGGCTGAGGACTGACTAGCCACCAGGTGTCTCTCTCTGACAAAGTAATAACCAACCTGAAAAACAGCTCAACAACCTTGCCTGTACCGTTTCTTCTGTTCTGGGGCAAAAGCACAGGTTTTTGTTTTTGCAGATATCTTAATTTTTAGCAGAACATAAGGCATAAAACAGGTGTAGAAGTGTAACCTTTTAAAGTTACATATTTTACCAGTTCTGCTAGAGAAAACCCAGGGTGGATCAATGGAAAGAAAGGCAATCTGGGGCATTTTCTCCTCCCTCTACCCCTAATTTATACGTTGCTGAGGCTCTCCCCTCAGAACAGACCAGGGGATAGCCCCAGACCTTGCAGATGTTAATCATGCAAGCAGAGGCTGTCTGCCTCTGCACTGACTTTCTTTTCCTTGGCTACATGCTCTACCTTTTACAGACATCTTCTGCTAGTCTCATGCTGTTGAAATATCTCAGACTTAGAGCTGAGTTTAACTTTCCTGGGGAACTTCCTCAATGTTGTGGATAAAACACCACAAACACCCTTAGGAGTACAAGGTAATGAGTAGTCTTTAAGAGCCAGAGCAAGTGCAGAAAGCCCAGGGATGCTTGCTGGGATCAGTAGCTAAGAGAAGGGCAGAAGAATAGAAAAGGCACAGATACAGGGAGATTGGGAAGATTGGGAAGATCCTGGGCATGGTACAATGCTGTGCTGATAGAAAATTGCCTTCATGTACCATGCTTTTCAGTTCTTTTTCTCTAGAAAGCCTTTTTGGGTACATACTGAAGTGTAGCTTGTGTTGAGAACGAATTTACCTTTGAGCAGATTACATTTTCATGTGTGTCATGCTTTATGTTGTTTAACAGAAGCAGATTTAAAAACTAAGAGGATGGTGCAAGGAAGGTGACTTATTGGGAAATAGGCACGGAGGTATTTCACAGGCTGCCTGGGAGAATGCCTTACTGGGTTTTTTTTGTCAATCGTAAAGTCCTGGGGTATTATTTTGGGTTGTTGTTTTGGGATGCTAGCCTTTCTGGGACTTTCACATCCCATCAGAAGGAACATAACGTTCCCTCTTCTTAAGAGGATAGGAAATAACCATCTCTTTCCTGTAAATGCTGTCCAAGGGCATGGAATATGCTCAGTGAGTACTACACGAAGGAAACGTTTCCTTTCTTTTGCTGCTACTGTTATTCACGCAGCAATGGGCTGTTTGAATTCAGTGATGCAGATTAAAAATTCACCTTTGTTTTTGTTTTTTCTTTTTTTAATTGACATGTTTTGCTTACTCTCCTTACATGTGTTCCTGAGGAATCAAACCTCAGGTTTGATCGAACCAGTGAGTATCAGCCATTTAACACCTATCCCGTGTGATGTCATGACACCCATGGTGTTTTGTTGAATATTACGTTCAAATGCGGTAAAGCTGTGCAAATAGTTGCTTTATATAAGCGTAACACCTGACAGTGGTCAGGGTCTGGTGTGTCTACTCTTGTGTAGATCTGAACCCCTTCTCACGCTGCTTGTCAGTCAAGATTTGCAGAGGCGTTGCTGCAGAGGGTGGATGTTCGAAGCTGCTCTACACATGTGCATGGAAGGCTGAGAACAGTCTTCTCTGATGTCCTCTTCACGCTCTCCGTGTGAGCCAAGCTGTTAGGCTGTACAAGGCAGGAATCAGAGTAATCCAAAACTAGGAAGTACAAGATGTATTCTTCTATCATCCCCTGCCCATGCCAGCTCTGGAGGACAGATCAGTGGTTGTTTGGATGTGTTAACCAGACTCTTCATTTCCTGGTTTCCATTAGTTTGCTAAATTCGGTGTTGTGAAAGCGTATGTGCCAATGCTGGGCAACCCGTGGATTAGACTAACTTGTAATATTATTAGATAATGGAGGGTTATTAGAAAGTAGAGTCCGAGTCTGGTTTGTGAACGCATGGGGTGTCTGACTTAGAGATGGTTTAGGACGTCTTATTTGCAAATTATTTTTAATGTGCTGCTTCACCCTACCTTTCCTGTGGTGCCCTTATTTCCAATAGAAGTGATAGTTCCCCTTCTGGACACGTGCTGCTGTGGAGTTGGGGTGGCCTGCGGGAATAGGGAGCCTTTGGGAAAGGGGTGGAGAATGTGACCAGGTTGGTACGAGGGCTGGGGCAGCAACTGGGGAGCTCCAGTCAGGAGGGCAAATGGGAAGAGGGGAGGGAGCTTGCAACTCCATGGCTCTTGGTTCCCTGCTGGGAGATGATGGCAGCCGTGAGAAGCTGAAATGGGTAAGTGCAGCTCTGCAGTCTGTGCTGCCCTGCTCCAGCCCTCCCTGCTGCTTACACTGTCAGAGCCATCTCCACCCAGCTTCCTCCGCGCTCCATTCACAGCACGTCCCAGACAAAATCCTTCTTACCTCTCCTCCCTGCCAAGAGGGGCTAGAGGGCTACAAGTCTCCTTCCCTGGTGGAAGGGATGCCTGCAGCTTGGGAGCATTTGATCAGATGATATATGTGGGAGAAGAAGGAATCTTTTTCATTATCTCTCTTTGATTTAATTCTGAGAACAAAATAATATAGTGTGGAAATTTGGGATTAGCATCAGTTAAGTGTTAGTGTTACAGAAGCTACTTTGAGGTACACCTGAAAGCCCTAAAATGTCAACTCTAATCCTTAGCTAGGCGGGGATAATTAAAATTAATTGTTTGAAGTGTTGCTGATCTTGAGAATTCACCAAGGAGTTATTTGAGCTGGGTTTTGGGCTGATATTACACTGTTGGAGCTGTTAAACTTGAATTTAGTTCTTTCTTAGTACATAGTTCTGCTTGCTTTCTAGGACCCACCAAAGTAAGTTCCCAGGCAAAGGAATGCTACTGTGGAGTGATCAGAGAGCAGGATGTTCATGCATTTCAGTAAATCAGTAGCTTTTCAGAATATCCCCACGTGAAGATGAGTACCGAGTTCTGCAACTGAGATTTTTTTTTCTTTTTTTTAGCAACTGAAATGTTTTATTCTCATAGTGAATCTGATGGTAATTTTGTTTATTTGCAGAAGTTAGAGGACAGTTTTATTCTTTAAAGATTATTACAGTTTGGGTTACTCGGCCTTCACAGGGTCCCTTTGATTTACACAGGACTTTCTGTTCAAGCCCGGCATTTTTGATTATTGCAACACATATGGTTAGTAACATCTCCTGCTGTTGGGAGGCCCCTTGATAGAAGACCATATGTGTTACAAAGGAAGTGTGCTTCAGTTTCTTCATTGATTGTCTTGCTGTTTACTGTAACTAGGAAACATATGAACTTTCAGTAGAAATATTTCAGTTTTAATGTTTATGCATCAAATCCAGGAATTAGCTTGATGAAGTTTCAAGAAAACAAGACATCTTCTTTTGTGCTGTGTTGTTAAAAGTGCCACAAAGTCAATTTGGCGCTCGGAACACAGAGTTCGGGGGGGGCAGGGGGGATGAAATCATCACGCTTCTGAGTGTTCTCTTATTTTAATTTTTTTTTTTTTAATCCATAAAAGAATCTAGTCACTTACTTTGGCTGAATCTTCATTGCTTAAGAAAGTTGAGAAAGGCATTATTATCCAAAGGTGTAGACACTGAATGCCCAGTGTTTCAATTAAACTTCAGTGCATTAGGTGAGAGTACTGGGTATTGTCAAGTTAAAGGATAACTGATCCTTCATTAAACTTCTTTATGTCCTTTTTATGTCTTTTATCAATTCAAAGTAACATGGGAAATACTACAGTATTTAGGTTTGGATGTAGGCTGTCCTGTATCCTATTTTTAAAACATTTTAAGAATATTAGTTGCTGAATAGAAACAAAATCATCAGTGAATTGCTGTCTTTGACAAGCTGGAAGTGAAGTACTTCTGCAGAGCCAGAACTGCAATTGGTATTTTAAGATGTGATGAATTTGGATTTTTTTTGTGGATATATATTTTATTTTACATATATATATATACACACACACATTTAAAAAGGTTTTATATACATAAAACCTTCTACTGCAATCTAGGCAAAATTGACTGTTCAGAGGAAACCTAGGTAAGAAAGTTAAGCTTTATGAGATATTTCATAGATGTTTTAAGAAATATGTAAACATTGGACCCTTCTAAAAATCTACCAAGGCACTTAACTGGTATGTCCAAGTCCCAGAATCCTTTGTAGATCTGTCCTTTAATTCCCCGCAGCTGTACTGCCTGCACCTGCAGTACTTGGAGCATCTTCCTAGGTACTGCACCATAAAAGATGGTCAGAATTTTTGCAGTTGTCCTGAGAGCTAGCTGAAGGTAACAGCCACTTTGTATATACTGCTGCTGTCTTTGTAACATCAGAAGTAAAAATCTTTCAGTTGTTGCTGTGAAAAATGTAAAAATCATTTACATGTAGTTCTGTGAAAACTACAGTTGATTATAGAAAATATTTTTTTTTAAGTTTTAGGAGGAATGAAAGGGAGACAGTTACTTTTCTTTAGAAGAACAGCAATTGCAAAACAGCTTGTGCACTTCTGAACATAACTTGCAGCTATGACTCACACAGGGGAAGAGGTGCTTGGCTCCTCTTTTTCCCTCTGATCAGTTTCCATGCTTCTGAAGCAGCCAGAATAGGATGTGAAGCCAAGCAATGCAGGGATGGACTGTGATGCTGCTTTTACTGACATCAAGGATGTGCTTGTGCCTCATCCAGATCTCTGCCATTTGGTAGTTTTGTAGTCAGTGCCTTGGTATTAAGAAAACCGTGGAGTGGCGTTCCATGGCAGCTGAGCAGCATGGAACACTTCATGCAGTGAGCTGTTACTCAACTGCAGATGACTTACTCAATTAAGCATTTTCATTTAGAAAATGAACATAGTACATGTCAGTTGTATTTGAAGGAAATACTACCCCAGTGAGCCATAATGGAAAATGAAGTCAGTGAGATCTGGAGCCAGGATATCTAATTTTAATCAGAACTTGTTGTGAAGCGGCTTTGATAGCATATACAGTTGACATCAAGTTCTCTAACTGGGCAGGCATCAGTGATGGTGAGGGATGCTTCACTTTAGTAACAGGCACCCAGCAGGTTGTTTTTCAAGACTTCATTGTACAGTGAAGAGAATGAGGCTATTCCAATTCTAAGCTTCTTTTTTCCTTGCCTCCTTCTACACAGTTCTTCATCTTACCTCTTTCTGCTTGCCATTTACTGTCCGGCAAGAGTGCTTTGAAGTGAGATTAAGTAACTGTAGTTCCGGTATTAGCATGCTGAAAAAAAATCAACATTTCTGATTTTCCAAAGTGAAACTTTTTGACAAGCGGTGATCTTTTTAACTTCGGTGTTCAGGCTCCCTGTGCACAGCTCTTTCTGTGCACTATTCTATAGACTAGATTGTGCCTCGAAAGGGGAGGGAGGGCGAAAGTCTGAAAAGATCCCTCTTAAGCTGATTATACAGCTGCAGTGATGAGCTGAGTCTGCCTCAGTGAGCCCACAGGGAACTGGTCTTGCATGTGAAATCAGAATGTGCTGTGTGACAACCGTTTCTGCAGACACAGAGTATTTCTAACAGGTAGCAGATAGCTAGAAGTACTTCGGGAACATTTCTTTTTCAAGGGCCTGTGTTGGAGACAGCCCTGTAGGCCACATTCCAGTTTCTGTGAACTGTGTCATGGTTTGTCTGTTTCCACTTCGGAGGGGAAGATCTGCAGTACTCCGATTGCTTTGGCTGTTTTGATTTAAAAATTTGCAGAAAGAAAATCCATATCACAGGAAAGGCTGCTCACTTAGAGTAGATAAACATGGCCTGTTTGGAAAAATTTGTGGAAGATGATGCGTTAAATGAAAAAACGCTAGAAAGCCTCATTTTAGTTGATAACGTATATCAAAAACCTCATCTGAACAGTCCTTGTAAGTATTTTAGTAAATGTGCCCATCATTAGTGTTTCCTGCAGCTAATGATGGTGACCCTGTTTCTATGTCTAAAGATTACCAGCTTTTACTAAAGTCTCCTTCAGAAGGTGCTTTGAATTAATACCATGCCATGTTAAATGCCAGATATTAACATATGTCTGAGAGAGGAATCACAGGCTTGTTAATCGCAAATCAATTGAACTGGTTCCATAACCCTGTTGATATTCCAGTTTGTTCTATGCATACGGTAGTGGTGATGCTTCCTTCAGCTGTCAAGATGAAGAATTGCAAAACCTTGTTTCACTCATCTTGCAAAAAACTTCCAATATTCCACTCACCGATTTTATTTCAAAACCTTTTTCAGTTTGGTAATCTAAGACGGTATCATACCAATATGCAGAATAGCATAAAATTCATGAGGCAAGATACTATTTCAGCTTCTGGTTATATATGCTATGTAATTAATAATGTTTTCTGTGTTATCCTCCAGCTTTGGTCATACAGTCTTCTAACCTCTTTCAGACCTGTTGTGCTCTAACTTCACCTTTTCATTTAAGGAAGGCTTTCTCATTCTTGGCTTTAACAAACATGACCAGATAGAGGGGAAGAATCCCAAGGCATGCTGCACAACTCTGCTGAGTCACGTGCTGCTTTGGGGACCTTGGCCTTCATTACTTCTTTTTATTCTAATTAGTGGCTCCTTGGAGCTAGGATTCTTGCTTCCTCTCTCTTTGGTAAACACACTTCTGATTTTACTTATACTATGGCAAGTGTAGTTCATCTGTAAAGCTCAGTTTTCTCTTAGGAATAACTAGGTAAGGGAATGATTATCTATTTGATAAGAGCACTTTTTTAATAAAGTGCTTGCATTTAAAAATTGGTATCATAGTTAATTGAACTTAGCAGCTAACTTGTTCAGTGTTTTGCTACTGGATGCACGTACACTTGTCTCTGCAGCCAGCTAGAACCTGCTGGATAATGTTTCATCTGCCTGATAGGCAAGTTAAACAACATGTTGGAACAACACCGGGTTTACTTTTAATTGTAGTACCAGAATCTTTGCATAACTGATGGTGATTGTCCTGGATATAATGATTCGTAGGTCTTAAGTAGTTTAAAAAAAGGCGGGGGGGGAGTACCATTAGATGTTCCTGTGCTTCACATAGATGTCTGGCCTCCAGTTTCTGAATGGTAGTAGTTTCCTCCTTCCTTTTCCAAATCTTTGCTGTTTGTTATGAGTGTAAAATTCTGAACCAGAGCAAGGGGCCATGCACCTACCTTTTAGACTGTGCTTTTTCTTAGGAGATTTCTTTTAGAAAAATATTTATTGTTGCACTCACCATACCAAATGGGAGAATTTGGAGCAATGACGGAGAAAATGCTTTGTCTTAAGTCAATATTGACTTCAGCAGCATTTCTGAACATGAGTAAAAAGGCAAAAAGATACTTCCTAATCTAGCAAAGTATCCTCTAGGTAATACTGCCTTTCTTAAGATGATACTGCACTGGAACCATGCTTCAGTAGCTTCTATCCTCAGGTATTAATTATGCTAGCTGGAAAGGGAAGTTAGGTCTTAAAACTAACAAACTGGAGAAGGGAGCATGACATCAATTTTTGTCTCTACCAAAAGCTTCCTGGTCTTTCTGTGAGACATTTATTCTTTCTAACTTCTGTTACCCATGTTATGTCAAAATGCAGCTTCCCTCCCTGCCCATGACATATTTCCTATTTAGGCAATCACTGCTGTGAAAAGTCGAGTCCCCTATTTTATGTAGAACCTGGCCTCAGCTGGGACTTCTGGCTATTATTGTTGCACAGGTTTGGCAATCTGTCCTGGGTGATAAGCCAAAAAGCATTTTCCTTTTCTGAAATTAAAGGGCAGCTATACATATAGAAAGTCAGCTGGAAGATACTCCCTTTTAAAATGTGAAATGCTGTTGATATCTTGGTGATATCTTACCTGTCTTTGTAGGGAACAGATTTTTATCCCATGAGGACTTGAAATTCAGCAGTCAGGATCTGGGAGCAGTGCATCTTTCAAAGTGCCTCTCAGCTTCTCTACATGCCCCTTTTTACTCTCTGAAAACACCATTCAAAATCTTGACTACGTGTTTTCTTCTGCGCCCATGTCATAGGCTACCGAGCTTTATCATAGAAAAAACAAGTAGTAGTTACCAGCTAACATTAAGAATATGCATTTCTTTTTCTTTTCAGGGAGAAAAAGTTCTACTGGCATTTGAAGCTCGTATTTCCTCACTGTCATGCTGAATACACTTTAAAAGGGTACAGACCTTGAAAAACGGGTTTTTATAAAGTTTAAATTAGTCTGTTGAAATTGAACTGCAAAATACTTTGATCAGTTCTTATCTATTTCTGTTATACAAGGTAAATTCGAATATTATTTTTAGTCTTAATTAAAAGGGCGTTTAAATGGAAAAAAATGCTTAAAGTTGTGTAGTCCTTTCCTCTTTGAAAGCTAGCTGGCTTTTCAAATCGGGCAAAATGTTTGATCGCTAGTCCTCCTCTCTGTGTAAACAGAGCAGCTTGTATATTCATGACAGCGATATCCTGTACACCTAACATATTCTGTTCTCATGGAGCATACATTCAGCAAGATTTGCCATCCCTCCTCGCCTGCACACTGGAGCTGACCTTCATATAGGATGAAATGATTGCATTGTTTGCTTTGTAGGAAATCGCACAAGCACATTTTGCAAAGGGGCAAAAAATAAGCTTTTGTTGACAAATCTTTCTCCTTTTTTCCTAGCCTGAAGGGGGATGAGAAGCATGCCCTTGTCTACTTCCAGGGCTGTAGGAACAGCATGTTTCTCCTGCAGGGTTAGAAACTAGAGATACGCATCTGTTTACTCCTTGTAGATGCCAGTGAAGTCCCAGTGTTGAAATTGAGATAAAGCTGTCAATTATTTATGCTGTATTGATACACATTTATGATGGTCCCATAAAGTACCCAGTTGTGCTGCTGTAGCATGCAAATATACAGCTTCCTCCAAATGCCTCAGATAATAGATTTTTGTGTACATGATGAACCATGTCTTACGTATTTGATTTTTATCTTTGGTGAAAGGGTGCCTGACGATAAAACGCTCGCTGATATCCTTAAGCCGTATATTGATCCAGTGGAGTCAGATCCTGTAGTTTGTCAAAGGTGTGTATTGAATAACTTTTCTGCCTAGTTCATCTAATGCACTAATAAAAGAAGGGGACGGTTCTGAATAAATGGCTTAAACTAGCTGCACTTTCAGCATGCAGAGCTGAGTTCCCAGTCAGCAGTACATCTTTACTTTCTGTGATGAAAACCATCCTAACGTTCACCAACCAACTAACCCTGGAGTATAGCCACCAAATGTAAACCAGGAAAAGATTAAGAAATAGACTTGTGGCATAAAGATCAAATAAACCAACTGTAATTCTAAAGAATGTAATCATAATTAACCTCACTGAGGGTGAGAGTGAACCTTTCCTTTGGAGTAATTAGAAAAACATACTAGTAATCGTAGCCCTCATTTATAAGAAATACTTAGGATGTGGCAAATTTTTGTCTTTATGAAGAAATATATACTTTTGGCTGTTGACATGCAAAAGATATCCATGTCTTACGGATGATAGCAAGAAAAGTCATTGTACATCATTGTTTCTTCATCTCTGTTGCATATTCTTTTTTTTTTTTTTTTCAGATTAAAAATATATACGGGGTCTCCTCGGTCAGATGTACAAATTTTAATGAAAATAGAAAACAGGAAACAAAATTCTATCAGGTAAGGTGGTTCTTCAGTTTGTGTGGTTATTAATTAAAAATAGCAAAAAGAAATAATACGTTTCTTAGTCTTTAACACTACAAATGGAGATTGCATGATCTCATGGCTTAAACTTCAGTGAGTAATTACCAGCCACCTTAAAAATTACTCAGCAAAAGTGTCTTTTAATATGTCAACATACTAAAATGTCAAAAATGTCTTTGTCTTTTAATATGTCAACACTGAATTTTCTGTGCAATTACTGAATAGTAAATTCAGCTGACACGTACTTGGACAATTTCAGAAGCTAGGGCACTCACAGCTACATTGGTGGAATAGTGAGTGTACCTGAACTGCTTCAGCAGCAGTCCATGCAAATGTAACAATGTCTGCAGCGAAGATAGTTTTGTGTTAAAATGCTAAATTACTGTATTGACCAGCAGGAA